TATTATTTCAACATGAATGCAACTTAGATTACATGAGGAAAGTTAAAGATGCAATTCTAGGTCTAATCTCTCAGGATTTGCAAACTCGTCGTAACCGGCTCCCGGACCCGGGAAAGCTTTAGCAAACTCTAGTTTGTCTAAAAGCTCGTCAACAAAGAAAGAAGAAATAAAAAGTTTCCTCTGACTAGAAGCCATGAAGTTCTGTCTCACTGCATCGTCTAAGAATTTGAGAAGGTTATTGAAATAACCGTCAATGTTTAAAAGACCAATGGGTCTATTGTGTAACCCTTCAGAAGCCCACGAGATCAAGGTAAACAAACCTTCCATAGTGTCAACTCCTCCAGGAAGAACAATGAAAGCTTCCACGGCATGATTCATCTCAAAATATTTGTAGTAATTGCTGGAAACTGTGTGCTCTACACCATACGTAGGTCCATAGACCCGTCGTGTTGCGATGTACCCAGGAATAAAACCTCTAACGAGACCACCATTGGTAAAGATTGTTGAAGCAACAGCTCCTTGTAGGCCAACGTTGCCTCCTCCATAAGCAAGACTAATTCTTCGTCTTAACAATTCCCTTCCTAAATCTACCGCAGTAGCCATAAACTTTGGATTTCTACCAAGAGAATGACTGCCAAGTAGACCAACGAATCTTATGGTGTAAGGAAGTGTTCGAGAAGTTCCTTCCATAATGTGAGAATGTGAGACACTCTTTCAATAATCGTGATATATATAGTCTTTGAAACCTGACCATAGATGGAAAGGTAATTATCACCAGCCAAAATATGTACAGTAAATGGACTCAAATTACCTGCATACGAGAACGTACTCGCTAATGCTACAAGTCTGCTGACGATATGACGTGTTGAGACTCTTGAACAGTTAGATTTGTTGTCCTAAAACACGTTCAAATCCGAGACGAAAAGTCAAAATGACTATTTCTAAGACATCGAACCCTTGAGTAATTTCCAAAGAGTGAAACATCGAAAGAAGAAAATCTACGATTTGTAACGGCAATTCGAAAATGCTATCTTTATATCTCGTGACTCGTATCCTTGAATTACTCAAGTTTGATGTGTTAACTACACTCTTGAAACATCTCGCTTGATCAATCTTGAAAAGATTGAATTCCATTGTTGTATCAAAATATTAAACCCTTGGTAACTTGTCTTAATTCATCAAGATACGTTATACCGATCTTTGAAAATTACACTCTGTGAACTACGGTAAAAGCATTCTGATTGGAATATTATGTTGAGCCTCTCTTTGTGAACCACAAAATGGTTGATGCGATTACGTTATCTCTGAAGATTATTATCGATGATCTCATTTGACCAAACAAACTCCGTTATGACCCTACTAAGGGAATGTATGTGCAACAACCAGAGAAGAAGTGACGTCACAAGGATCAAGCTGAATCATTCAAGTGAAGATTCCGAACCTATATGCGATGTTGGTGTAAGAACTAGTAAAGATTCCTCACTCTATGAATTCATGAATTGAATCACGCACTGAAGATATTATCTTCTTCACTCGAAATGAAATCAACCATAGTGTTACATCAAACCTGTCATTATCAAGAACGTATCTGGATATATTCCAAACTCGATGAAGAAAGTTGAATACGACAAGACGTATATGAAACGCCACTCTAACGTTATCACCTGTGGATACGAATTAATGCAAAGACTCATTAATGATAATGAGATCTACCATGAAGTAAACGAAGAAATGTTTTGGTATAAGGTCGATAAGTGACAAGCTACTGTACAACGTGTAGTACCTCCTCATAATGCATGATAAATCCCATATCCTGAAAATCTTGGACCACGAAAAGCCATTTGATGTTACTTACAAATCATTCTGAACTATATGAATAATGTGAAGATGTCTTGAATGACTTGGATGATTTCG